AGAGAGATGGGGGTCAGGGAGGGAGAAGGGCATCAGAGAGATGGGGATCAGGGAGGGAGGAGGGGGTCAGAGAGATGGGAGTCAGATGGGGATCAGGGAGGGAGGAGGGGGTCAGAGAGATGGGGGTCAGAGAGATGGGGGTCAGGGAGGGAGAAGGGGATTAGAGAGATGGGGGTCAGGGAGGGAGGAGGGGGTCAGAGAGATGTGGTTAGGGAGGGAGAAGGGGGTCAGAGAGATGGGGTCAGAGAGGCAGGAGGGGTCAGAGAGATGGGGTCAAAGGCAGGAGAGGTCAGAGAGATAGGGGTCAGGGAGGGAGGAGGGGGTCAGAGAGATGTCATTAGGGATGGAGGAGGGGGTCAGAGAAATGCGGTTAGGGAGGGAGGAGGGGGTCAGAGAGATGGGAGTCAGAGAGGCAAGTTGGGTCAGAGAGATGGGGATCAGGGAGGGAGGAGGGGGTCAGAGATGTGTTCAGGGAGGGAGGAGGGGGTCAGAGAGATGGAGGAGCCAGAGAGGGTCTGAGGACAAGGATCAAATAGAGAAGCCAAGTCAGAAAGAGATGGAGGTCAGAGAGGACATCAGAGATGGGTGTTCAGGGAGAGAGATGGGTTGGGGCGACACACGGGAGGTGGGTGGGCCCGGTGGGTGGTGCTCACATCCAGCGCAGGTGTGGCCAGGAGCACATGGGTGGACTGTAGCACATCGGCCGCGTGCAGGCTGTTGTGGTAGGCCACGTCTGCATGGTAGTGGTCCTCCAGCGTCAGCATGTACGTCACCATGGTGTCCACCGGGATGCGGAACTTCTTCAGCAGGTCCCGCTCCTGAGGGCAGGCAAGGCGGGGTGGTGACCCCTGCTGGCCCTCAACCCCCACCCTACCCACTTCGTGCCACAGCTCACTCCCCTTAGCCCCCCACCTGAAATATCGTGTACATGATACAGCTAAGGGAGCGGCCTCCAGCGTAATCCGACACACAAAAGATGTTCAGGCCCCACTTGTTCAGGTTCTCCAGCTCCTGGAGGGGATAGAGGACAGAGGTCAGGAGCATCCAAGCCCCAGAGAAGGCGACCTGGCCCCCAGACCCTTTCCTAGGATTTTGGAGTTCTTGGAACTGATGCTGTCTGTGGGTAGCACATTATGCTCACCCAGTGGGTAGTGTGTTCGACGGCACAGAATTGACCACCCATGTCGTACTGGGCTGGATAACAATACAATGACCCCAGCTGCTGTCTACTGAGTGTTATTACCTGCTAAGCACTGTACTAAGTACTTGATCTCATTTGGTAGGGGAGGGAACTAAGGCTCAGAGAAGTGAAGCGACTTAACCCAAGACCTTGTAGCTCATAAGTGGCAAAGCTGGGATGTGAACCCAGCTTGGTTGACCCCTAAGCATAGCTCAGCCTCTAAGCTAAATTTCTCATAAGCCCCTAAAGAAAGGAACGTGGTCTTATTTTCCATGTCTTCCCAGAATCCTGAGTTGATTCCAACTCATGGCAACCCCATTGGTCAAAGTAGAACAGTTCTCCATAGGGTTTTCAATGGCTGTTTTTTTGCAAGTAGATCACCAGGCCTTTCGTCTGAGGTGACTCTGGGTGGACTCAAACCACCAACCTTTTGGTTAGTAGTGAGCATGTTAACCAACTGCACCACCGAGGCTTGCTCTGCTCCTTCCTATTCTCTCTCCTAATAAAGCAGGTACCCTATCCTCAGCTCAGGCTGTTTCCAGGGAACCCAACTTCAGACCTGACCCAAATTCCAGCCTTTCTTTGGGCCCCAGGAAACCCTGACTCCTCCTCTCCAGCCAGCCCCCTCCGGCCCCCACCCACGTGGGCCAGGAGCTCCTCTTGATCAGTCTTGACCCCAAAGCGGGGGATGCTGGAGTTGTTCAGGCTGCTGCTGTGCATCAGTTTCTTGACGCCCGTGATATGAGACATGGGCTGGAACTGTGGCACAGGGGGCGGGGGGTGCTGAGGGGGTCGCTGCTGCCGCGGCGCTTGCTGTTTCTCTCGCTCCTTCATCGTGGGTGATGGGATCTCTACTTCGTTCTGCTTGTCTGCGGAAGGAAGCCAGGCCAAGGGGCAAGCTTGAGAACCGCCCGGGCTCCCTCCTCTGGTCCTCAGCCCCCACCATCCCCTGGGAAGCCTCACCAGACAGGACAGACCCCTTCCGAACATCTTGCTGCCGGCTACTCAGAGGCTGGAAGCCGTGGGCGGGGTAGGAATTCTGGGATGTGGTGGGCTGGAGTGGTGGCCCTGGGGCCAGCCCAGGATTGTGGGGAGGCCTCAGTCCGACCACCAGGTTTGGGAGGGGGGTGGTGTGGGAAGTCAGGAAGTGGGATGGGGATGCCAGGGGTTGCCGCTGCCTGCCCCGGGTGGCCAGAGGGCCCTCGTGGGTGGGGAAGGCGCCCCCATGGTGGCCCAGAGTGCTGGTGGGGGGCGGCAGTGCTTGGCGGAGGGAGAGGGTAGGGGTGGTCTCTGGCTCCATGGGCCCCCCCCTTGGCACCATGGCACACCCTGCCTGGGGGCCAGCCCCAGGAGCACCTTTCCTGAGCTTTCAGGGGCTTCTGGAGCCCAGCCAGGGCCACCCATTGTGACCTGGGGCTGCCAGGCAATGGCAATGGCCTAATGGAGGTCATTTGCATGCCACACTCCCATTGGCTGGGTCTTCAGAACTCTAGGCACACCACACCCCCGTTGGCGGGAGCACTGAAACTCTGAACCCTTCTCTTGAACTTGAGGGGGTTCTCCTGAATTTGGGGGCTTTGGTGAGAAACTGGAGCCCTGGTGGCACAGTGGTAGAGAGCTACGGCTGCTCATCAAAAGGTTGGCAGTTCAAATCCGCTACCCTATCCTTGGAAATCCTACAGGGGCAATTCTGCTCTGTCCTATAGGGTTGCTATGAGTTGGAATCAACTCCATGGCAAGGTGAGGGTGAGAAATTAAAGGAGCCCTTGTGGCGCAGTAGTTAAGCACTCAGCTGCTAACCAAAGGATCGGTGGTTTGAACCCACCAGCTGCTCCATGGGAGAAAGATGTGGCAGTCTGCTTCCATAAAGATTATTGTTATTGTTGTGTGCGGTCGAGTGGATTCCAATTTATGGCGAACTTATAGGACAGAGTAGAACTGCCCCATAGGGTTTCCAAGGAGCGGCTGGTGGATTTGAACTGCTGACCTTTTGGTTAGCAGTCTGAGCTTTTAAACACTTTGCCACCAGGGCACCTATAGGACAGTTCTACTCTGTTCTGTAGGGTTGCTATGAGTTGAAATTGACTTGATGGCAATGGGTTTTCTGGTAATAAATTAAGTCATGAGAGTGAGATTATCCTGAGTTTGGGAGATATCCTTAGCTTGGGGGCTCTTGGGTTTAGAGGTTCAGATGACTGTGAGGCCCCGTAAACTCAGTAGTTGCCATGAATTTGCAATATTTTACTCTATTTGGGGTTCCACTGAGTTAGGAAATTTTCCTAAGTTGGGAGAATCTATCAGAGGTTCTTAAGCTTGAAAATTTTACTGAGTTTGGGTATCTGAAATTTGGAGTCCTCTGAATTTAAGGTGTCATTCCAAGTTTTGGGACTTTGCGGGGCTTTCAGCTTGGAAGGAGGAGCCCCGGGGCATGGTGGTTAAGCACTCAGCTGCCGACCAAACAGTTTGAATCCACCAGCCACTCCACAGGAGAAAGATGTGGCAGTCTGCTTCCATAAAGATTTACAGCCTTGGAAACCCTACGGGGCAATTATACTCTGTCCTATAGTGTCCTATGAATCAGAATTGACTCGTGGCAACAGGTTTGTGTTTTTTTGTGGTGGTTGTTCAGCTTGGAATTTTTTAAAGTTTGAGGGGTCTTTTGTGGGCTTTTAAGTGAAGAAGTTCTCTTAGGTTTGAGAACCCTATTTACTGAGTTTGGGCATCTCTTTTGAATTTGGGGGGCCGACCCAAATTTGGAGAATTGATTGAATTTTGGATTCTACTGAGTTTGGGAGCCTTTTTAGCTTGGAGGCTTTCGGAAGTTTAGGAATTCTATTTGAGTTTAGGGGTTTCTTAAGGTCTTAAAGAGTTCCATTGAGTTTGGGGTTCCACTGAGTCTGAAGCAGCTTTTCAGCTTGGATATATTTTAAAATGTAGGGGTTCTATAAAAGTTGGGGTCCCAGTGAGTTTGTGGGCATCATGAGTATGGGAGCTCTTGCACTTGGTGACTTTGACCTTTGGGGAGTTATGAGTCAAGTCCCTGGGTAAATCTAGGCAGGAGCTCCCAGGGTCTGGGGTGGCCCTCTGTAGCCCAGGTGTGACCCCTCCCATGCTGCTTGTCACTTACCCAGGAACGTTGTGGAGATGTACTCAGAGACCTGGTTTCCTGACCTGCTCATCTCTGACAGGTGTGTGAGCTCACGGTTTAGCATCCTCTTGAACTAAGGTGAAGTGAAGAAGGCAAGAAGGAAGGGATGATGGGGGGGAGTCATGGCTGAGGGGGGACAGCCCCCCCAGTATACTCCTAAAGGCCTCATGAGCCTCCTTCTCTACTCAGCCAGCAGAGTCCCTACCAGGCTGCTAGAGGGGAGGGGCAGCTCCTCCTCTTCTCCCCAGCTCTGGATGGGGGTCCCTAGGTTTGGGGAGTCAGGATTTTAGCATCTCCCTCCCTGCCTGAGGAAAGAGGGGCTTCCCCACCGGCAAGGAGAAGCCAGAGGGGCACCTGTGGAGAGGAGGGGTTCCTGCCTACCAGGGAGCCAATGGGGTATCAGGAGAATACCATCACCATGGTGATGGGAGTCTCCTTAGCAACTCCCCCTCCAACCAGCTGCTGAGCTGGGGGGAAGGAGGACAGGCCAAGGCCCCTTAACCCTTGCCTTCCCAGAGCTACCTCTGACCCAGGTCTTCCCAGACACGGACCCCAATCCATAGGGGCCCTGGCCACCCCCCGAACCCCACCCTGGTCGGGAGGAGAATACAATATCCAAGCTCTGGTGAGAGAAGGTTTGGCTGGGCAGGGGTGAATAGTGAGCTGAGAAAACCCCAGTTTGGTCACCTAGGGGAGGGGGTCCCCATCATAGCCCCTCTCCCCCAACCTCAGGGCGGTGGACTGATGCACAGACAAATGGCATATACCCAAATCTGGGCCTTGGCGCTGTTCCTGGTCCCCCCATGCCACTTCACACAAGCCTCTGCTGTGACATTGTGCCGAGAGGAGAAAGGGCATCTGCTCCCCGCCCCCCAAGCTCTGCTGAAGCACCCTCAAAGCAGAAGCAGACTGCTCAGGGAGGCAGGAGGGGTGCGCCTGTGTGCCCCACACCAAGACAGGGTGCTCGCTGCTCGCAGTGCTGCCAGAGACCCTGAGTGTACAGACACACACACACACATACACACCATCACAGACCCCCATGTTACACAGTCCCGCACAGCCTCACATAGCCACAGACACACAGACCAAGGTGCACACACAAAGGCAATCACTGACACTTGGAGTCACATGCCCCAGAAAAATCATGCAGCTGTGGGCTCACAAACATAGCCCAACACAGAACACAATCACAGCCACATGATCTCAGCCAGGGCCACACTAGACCCAGGCAAACCAGCACACCATTAGGAGACACACACCACTATAGACACACACACCCTGACACCAACACAGTCACACCCAGTGAGAGACCCAAATCCCCGGGCAGCCACACACCCCCAGTCACCCACCACCATCCACGCCCAGCCCCGGACCACACGCAGACCCCCATCACCAGGCTTCATACCCAGGCTACACATGTACACAGCTGCACACACAAGCCCAGGTGGGGGCTGGAGGGTCTGAGGCGGGAGGGCCGGGGAGGGATTTCCTGTCCACCCTCCCCACTGCGTTCCCCTACCTGGTCCCACCAGCCCACCAGCCATGGCTTGGAGCAGGTCTCGCAGAAGAAATCTACCAAGGGCATCTTGGAGCCTTAGCCCTGTTCGGGGCTGCCGCACACAGAGACTGGGCTTGGGGAATCCTGGCGTTAACAGCCGAGGTGGGTGCTGGGCAGGTGGGCAGTGGAAGGGGAGCCGCGGAGGGGCCTGGGCCGGCCCAGCAGGGCTGGGGGCTCCCTTCCCCTCCGCGCTCCCGGTGGCAGCCCTGGTTACATGGTCTGCCGGCTCCTGGCCCTGGTGGGCCCTGCAGCAGCTGGTGGTGGCCAGGGGCCCCTGCCCATGGGAGGCAGGGTGGGGGTCCCTGGAGGGAGGCTTCGGAGGCCTGGGGCTCCGTGTGCGCCCCTGTGAGTGTCTGTCTGTGTGTGTGTCTGTGTGTGTGCGTGCGTGCTCACTGCAGCACTGGCAGGCTGCATTCGATGTCAGGTGGTGTTGGGGGGGGCTGTTAAAGGGGCACGGAGCCCAAGGCTGTGGCCAGGAGCCAGGTGGTGCTGGGGGATGGGCAGGGAGACACAGACATGCCCCCTCCATGGACACGCCAGAGACAGAAACACACCCAGACGTGCCATATGCTCATGGATACACAAACACCCTGAGACAGCTTCCATGGACACAGACACACACCTAGATGCTTGACATGCTCTCACACTTGAACACACACCCCCCAAATGCTTTCAGCCCTACATTTAACACACATACTCAGAGACACAGTCACAGACCCAGAGGCCTGATGCACTTACAGGTATATATCCAAGCACAGAGACACAACTGCCTTCAGACACACCCCTTCCAAGACATAGACTCATACCAGACATACGTGGAGAAACACACCTAAGGACAAACACCCAGACACTAGACATACTGACAGATACACACGCAAACACCCACAGACACGCTCTCAAACAAACACAGATACTCACACTCCCTTGGACATAAATATGCCCTGACAAGTCCGTAAGTGAGTACTTACACAGATGCACAAGTACACACACGTACCATCACAGAAACACACCCTTAGACCCACACCCAGAGGTACAGTCACACACAGGCACACAATCGCCCTCAGACTTGCATGTCCCCAGATAAACCTCCACCTGCAGATGTGCACACCTCCCTAAGACAGACATCCCCCTCTGCCCACAGACATACACACCCCCCAACAAAGACACCCCCTCCATCCGTAGACATATGCACCCCGAACACAGATGCCCCCACCAGCACACTCATTGCCTGATAGGCATCCACCCACAAGGGCTGCCACTACGCGGCACAACTCCAGAAAGCACTGTTCACACTGTGGCACGCTGAGTAATGCCCCCTGGAGTTGTGCAGTGCACATTCTGCACAGCTGTACTTGGAAAGCCTCACACTCTCCCCTGCAGCCCTATAAACACACACATAGTCACAGATGTAGATACACACTCAGATTCACACCTGGACCAACTCACACCTGCAGACAGCCCTCCAACACAGCCCCCCACACTTGCCACACCCACCTACCCTCCACAGGTACACACCTGCACTCCACTTCTCCTGGATCCTCTGAATACACCCCAGCACTGCAAAGACATGCCTACCCACACAGACTCACGGTCACAGATATACACCTGCAGACAATCTCCACAAGCATAGGACTTCCCAGTAGAGATGGCCACCATGGACAGAAATACTAGCACAACTCTTGTGCGTGTGCATACACACACACACACACACACACACACACACACACACACACACACAC